TGAAATGTAAAGTGTGCAACACTTAAGTGCAATATGTGCCACTCACTTAGTGAAACAAGATTAGTTAATACTATGCAACAAGATCATGAAACATGTGAAACATGACTATGAAACATTTGCAACATTTCTTGTGTTTTTCATTGTTTCAATACATGTGATACTTGATTCTTGTGTGACCAATGTGTGGTGTGGTTAATAATCATCCTAAGTAACTTAGTTACACCTAGAATGTCTTTTGGAACATTGTTCATGTTGATCACTTTGGCTAATTAGGTTTCCAAGTCATGGTTGACCAATTTGGACCCCTAGAGCTCCTGTGTTTGACTGTTTAAAAAGTGTGGCTTAGGATGTTTGCATGTCTGAGCAACCTAAAGCAAAGATGTAGGGAATTATATAAGGAACAAACTTTGTTTAGAAGTCAAGTCTTGAAAATGTGCACAACATGCTCTAAAGGGCCCCACAAGTTAGATTTGAGATCTATTTTGAAACCCTGAAAATTTTCTAAGTCATAAACCAATTTTCAGTTTCTTGAGCTGATGTTTGGAGCACTGTATCTCACAAACCAAGCCCAAACAGCTCGAGCTCCAATTGTAAAGATTGTAGTTCGTGATATAGATGAACAACTTTGTTAATTATACCACGAGCTAAATCAACACGGTTTAGGAGATAATCATCGTTGAAGTTCACCTATCACCGGTATTGTCGAAATCTGAAACGAAAGTTCGTGACACCTCAAAGGACCTCGACCGATTCGTAACTCGACGGCGCATGGCGCCAAGGTCACCGCACCACTGGCTCGAGCGGCCAGCCACGCCGGGCCCGAGAGCGCCAAAGATAAGCCGCAAAGACGCCACCGAGAGCCCCCTCAGTGCCTCGGTTCATTTCTTCGCTTCCTCCTTCTCCTCCGCAGCACCGAGCAATGGAACCATCGCTTCCCCATTGCCGCCGTGAGCTTCGCAAGCTCCCGCCAAGACTCACCACCGTGAAAAACGCCGCACTACACCTTCACCGAAGCTCCGCCAGTGATCCCTCTTGCTCGTCGTCATCTCCGCTGGGGTCATTCGACCTCGTGAGGCCATTGTCGGCGTTCCCGCACCGTCGCACCCTCGCCGGAGATGGCGCCATCGCGCGACAGCGCACCACCGCACCACTCCTCCATCCTTAGCCCGCGCCTCGCCTTCCCCGGTCATGCGCCGATGCTCGGGTGATGATGTCACCACCCACGCCGGTCCAGCCAAGCGGAACACGGCCACGCCGCCACCGCGGCGCCATGGCCGAGCCGCCGAAGCCAGGGTCGGGTACCTAGAGGTCGGTAGGGTTTATGGTTAGGGTGCCAATCGACGCAGAGGTCTAGGCGGTCACGTTGGTGCCGCTCTCGCCGCCGGTGAGGTCACCGTCGGCGAAGCTACGCCGTCTTCCGCGCGTGCAGCAGCCGCCTCCTTCGCTTTGTTGCCGCTGACCAAGGGGTCGGCCGACAACCGGTCCCACACGCCGCTGGTCGTTGTTCTTAAGGATAGTTCAAAATACAGTTTTGATTGCTTATTTGATATTTTTGTATCTCCTGTTATGTAGATCCAAATTGGATGGTTCCAATTTTGTTAGACTCTCTGTGAGGTCTAGTATTTAAGAAAAATATGTCTTGAGCACTTTATGTAGAAATTTTGGATGAATTAAATAGGAACTTGAAATGTGTTTTTGAATGCATGCAAACTTGTTTAAATCATATTTTGAGTTTCCTTGATCCAAAAATTGTGAAATTTTGTGGGTAAGCTAGTATTGTATAGTAGAAGCTCTGGTTAAAATTTGAGAGTCATTGCATGTGTAGTTTTTGAGTTATAGATTTTCCTTTTATCATTGGATGATTCTTGTGTAAATTTTAGTAATTAATCTATGAACTGATGGCCATGAAAACTTGGTAGGTAGTATCCTAGTACCTTAAGGATGCTTAGAAAAATATGAAATCTGTTGCTTGACACTTTTCATTAGGGTTTCCTAATTATGCCATTTTAAGCCATTATGGCTTATCATTTTGTGTAGGCTTTTATTCTTGCTCAAATGGTGTGAAATTTTTATGGTAGTCTACTTAGGACATGTGGTGTCTACTGTAATTTTTGTAGAATTAATGGTGTATTTTTCATATGTGTTTACCATTTCCCCTAATTAATTAAGTAAATTAAGAAATGTTTAAAAGAAATGTTTTGGTGATGAACACTCTACTTTCTGGTGTTCTTGTGATATGTGTCATATGTCAGTAAAGTTAGTTTTGTCCAATTAAGTGTTTATATCATAAGTTAGTAATTAATTGTTTGCATTATGTCCCTCTAGACAGATCTAGGGACTTTGAAAAGTTCCTCATGATATTTTGGTTTTCTGTGAATGAGTTGAATACAAGAGTTGTAGATAAATTAGGTAGCTAGCTCCTGTAAAAATTTGAGGGCATTTGGCCTAGTAGTTTAGAAACTACAGCTGTTTAAAGTTAGGTTGCAGTTTTTGCTGATTCTCTGCCTTGTGAGGATAGACTTCTGTTGATTGATGAATTCGACCTGGTAAAGGTTTGAATCATGCTTTGAGGTCTGAAAATGTTTTGTAGACAATTTTATAAGCTTTCCAGATTGTCTTGTTACATATTATTTGGATTTATAAATCTCCAGTTATGACTAGTTTACTGCACCGCTACATAGTGTTCATTTTGCTGAAATACAAATGCTTGAGTGTATGTTGTTGCAAGATTCTCGTTGATTGTTTAGGGGTTAGCCTAACTTGAGAATATGCTTAGGTGCAGGTGCTAGGTCATTAACGGAAGATGAGCAATTATACCTTAGGTTGTATAAACGTGGTAAGTGAAAGTGATTTGAATAGGGCTTAAGTTGGAATATGCAAACCACAGCGAACATGTGCATTCCCCGAGCATCCCCGACATTCATACATGTGCATCCATGATATTTATCTTGCGCATTCATGCAATAGGTGTGCCGGAGGGAGTGACGTTGTTGGAGTTCGAGGGAGCCAACCAGGAGGAGGAACCCGAGGTGCAGTGAAGCCGACGGGCGATCCGCCATGAGGAATTGCCCGAGTGCCACTCGACCACCACCCTTCCTCGTTCTCGAAAGGCAAGCCCGGAGCATATTAAGCCTCCCATGTTTTTACAAATACATTGAGTATCTTTTATTGTTAATGATGCATTAAGTATAGGAATTGGTTGGAACCAATTGCTGCATTATATATCCTTCTTTGTCCAGATATCGTGACCGAATCCTATTTAAGTTCAGACGGGTTAAATGCTTAGCCATGCTTAGTGCGGTAGAAGTCGTGATTTCCTGTCACCGTGAGCTTTAGGATGAGGTGGATCACGGTTGGCTATATTTGCTATCGTGGAAAAGAACCATGTGAATAATGAATTAAGACCGGGCGGGTCTTGTGTAGTTTGAACATAGTGACTCCGTCTCGAGTCGCTTAAGGACCGATATCCAGACGTCCTCATCATGTCATGTTGAACGCAGCCTAACACTTAGTCGGGCCGGATAAGTCGCTCCGACCGCATGAAGCCTAGTAGCTCGACTCAGCCGGGACGCGAGCGGTGGCGACATTCTGGAGGTAGTAAGGATGTGCGGAGAGCCATTGGCATAAGTCCAAGGGGTTAAAGTCCCGAACGACCTTGGCGAGTGGTTCTCTCGAGAATGTCGATCTGTTCGGACTCGCGACTCTGAATCGTACTAAAAGGTGACTTGTTTGCGACTCCGACGGGAGAAGCAGGGTTTGTGTTTAGGAATACCCTCCACCGGATAGGAATCGATTCAATCGCCGCCTCTCCGGAGATAGTGAGAACTTGACCGAGCAAATGGCAACGAGATTCAATTAATTTAACGATATGGTTAAATGGATGATGATAAGGTTGCCACAATGAATACCGATATGGTTATTAATGTTTGCACCCTAATAAAATGATTGCTTAGTACAAAAAGCTAATATAGATGACAAAGTTAATGGCTAAAAAGTCACTGCTAGTTCAGGTTAAGAGTTGATCATTATTACTTATGCTTTTCTGCAAAAAGAAAGGGTCAGCCAGCTCCACTACAATAAGCTTTGCATAATCCTTGGTGTCATTTATTTTGGTTTCAAGGCGGGTAAGTCTAGCTGAGTACATTCCCGCACTCGTGGTTTATTCCTCTTGTTGCGTATGACCTTCTATATCGTGGATTCTGTAAGTATTGTCTCCACCCGGCGGTGATGAAGACTAGATCATGGGCATGATCTCTGCTCCCTTATCTCAATGCTTTTGCGGTGCTGTGATCAAAGAAACCAAAGATGTGTATTTGAACTCGAGTGTGTGAGTTAAACTATTTGCTTCCGCATGTTTTACAAGACTTGTTTTGTAATAACGTTGACTCTGTGATGATGTAATCTATTTGCAAACGTCTGTGAAATGTTGTAACGTACGATATGTTATGTTGAATTACTGTGATCTTGGTTGTATGCAAGTTGGTTTGAAATCCTTCGAGATTTCAGTTGACTACCGGGTTTATATGGGCTCAAGTTCGAGAATTTGATCGTTTCGGCGATTGTTTTTTGTACTTGTGCTCTTATAAATTGGTCGGTTCTGTGACAGTGTACCGCGTGTAGCACCGAATGTCGAAACAAATTCGGGGCGCAAAGTGGTGCTTGAGAAGGATGATGAAGGCAAGAACAAGTTGAAGATCACCACCGGATCAACGCAATATTTGAAAAGGCAGCGGTGGTATGAAACAACGGCGGCACAGCAGAGGCCGGCTAGGCCAACTCCACCAGTTGGCCAAGCCAACTCTAGCACACAGCAAGGCTAGTCGGCTCAACCGACTCAAGGAGTCGGCGTAGCTGACTCTACCACCACCCCAGCCAAGTCAGCTGAGCCGACTGCGCCAGTCGGCTTAGCCAACTCTCCTAGTTCCAACAGCTCTGGCGCCTCCGGTGTTCGTGCTTTGCGTACATTTGTCCCACAGCGACCGGAGATTGGCACCTGGAAGATGAATGAGAAGAAGAACGAAGGAGAGTTCGTGAAGAAGCAATGCACCTTTTACAGGCTCATGGCCAAGTATAAGCAACAAAAGGACGATTCCCAGAATCGGCCGTTTAAAAAAAGAGAGTCTACTCCGCCTAAGCGAGAAGGTGACAAGATCAAGAAATTGGCGGTGGTGCAACCAACAGCTCCGTCTTAGAGAGTTGTTCCTCGTGTTTCTCGCTGGGGTCCCCAGATTCCGCCTCCGTTTACACCGCAATGGGGCCCTTATGGAGTTTGGGTGCCGTATCCTCCGGCAGCACCCGTGCATAGCCAACAAAGGTGGGAAGATCCTGCTGGTTCAATTCCAAGACCCTCTGTCTTTAGCCGATTGAACAATTGTCAATCGAGCTCTAGTGGTACAAGTCAAGATCGTGTCATTACCTCTAGGACTTTGACTCCACAAGAGTCGGGAAAGGCACCAATGCAGCAAGTTTATGTGCCTAAGAAGGTTGAGATTCCCGTTGTTCCCCCACCAAGAGCTAGGCCTCAATCGGTTATCACAATCGGCTCCATGGAAGCTCCCGCCACTAATCATGATGGGCCGATTGTAATCGAAGAAATTCCAGCATCTAAGCAAGACGAAGATCCTAAAGATGTTTTTGGAATTGAAGAGAAGAAACGCGTCGAAGGAGATTCCAAGTACCGGCAACCCATATGGTGTCCTCGTGAGTTGAATAAAACTCAACGGCGCAAATTGCAGCGTGCCTGACATAAGCAACAAAAGAGGGAGAAGCTTGCCAAGATGGAGAATGAAATCCTCAACCCCGTACAGGTCAAAATCCCTCTAGAAGTTCAAAACGCCACTACTTCTACCGGCCAGTCGGCTAAGTCGACTATAGAGTCGGCTAAGCGAACTCCTGTGTTGAGCCAATCAGCTAAGCCGACTCCTGAGTCGACTGAGCTGATTTTGCCTGCCCTTACTGCTTCAGAAGGTCCAGAGTCAACTAAGATGGCTTCCGAGTCAGCTGAGCTGATTCCTGTTGTCCTGGGTGCCTTTGAGGTATCCTCTGATGATTTTGCTACTACTGTTGCTGCTTTGGTTGGCATGGAGGTTCCTGAGGTTCCTGACGAGGAGATGGTTGACTATGAGCCTACTCCAGAGAGAGTGGAGGTCAATGTAGTTGTTTTATTTGCTGATTACTACATCGTGGCAGATGACTCCACGGCAGCAGAATTTAATTTTGCAACAGAAAGCGCCGTATTTCAGAAACCAGATGACTCCATCAACCATCTCAAGCCTCTACATGTGAAGGGTTATATCAATGGCACACCGGTCCATAGCATGTTAGTGGACAGTGGGGTGATAGTGAACTTGATGCCGTATCCGCTTTACAAGAAGCTCGGTGGCACTGATGAGGAGATGATCAAGACCAACATGATGATCAACGGTGTTGGAGGAGGTGCTCCCATTCCGGCCAGAGGAGTTGCTAACATGGAGCTCACCATTGGAAGCAAGACTTTGGCCACGACGTTCTTCGTCGCTGACGTGCAAGGTAGCTATAACTTCATACTTGGGCGTGATTGGATCCATGCCAATCGTTGCGTGCCATCTAGCTTGCACCAATTTCTCATCCAATGGGTGGGAGATGCTGTTGAGGTCTTGCATTCAGATTCATCGGCTGATGTTGCTGCAGCCGATGCTCCTACACTCGGGGGGCATGATGCTATTGCTTGCTTATCTGGTAGAGATCTTTCTAGTTTTGAATTTATTAGTGTTACTAGGCAAGGTTTTGTTCCTATGTCCTTGAAGCCGATTGATAATCAGCTCAATATCATCATGTAATCATTATTGTAATGGATGCTAATGTTGAATGGTTAAAACATCCTATTGAACAGTATCGGGCTAATAAGACCAATGCCTGCGAGTCTATTGATGATTTTGATGAGCTCGATAAGTTGAGCCAAGGTTTTACGTCGGTCGACCCTTTGGAACAAGTTGATATTGGGGATGGCTCTGTGCCCCGGCCGACGTTTATTAATCAAAATTTGGAAGCCGATTACAAAGTTGAGTTAATCGCGCTTCTCAAGGAATATGTTGATTGTTTTGCATGGGATTATACAGAGATGCCTGGATTGAGCCGAGAGCTTGTTGAGCATCGGCTCCCTATTAAGAAAGGATTCAGGCCTTTCAAGCAAAAACCCCATCGATTTAATTCTACAATTTATGATAGGATTAAAGAAGAGATTAATCGGCTATTGCAAGCGGGGTTTATACAACCATGCAGGTATGCAGAGTGGGTCTCTAATATTGTGCCTATTGAGAAGAAGGATTCTAGGAAGATCAGAGTATGTATTGATTTTAGAGATCTGAATAGAGCTACTCCAAAAGATGAGTATCCTATGCCTATAGCCGATATGCTTATCAATGATGCTTCAGGACACTGGGTTATTAGCTTTCTTGATGGTAATGCCGGTTATCATCAGATTTTCATGGCCGAGGAAGATATGTCTAAGACGGCCTTCATATGTCCTGGGTTTGTTGGTCTGTTTGAGTGGGTTGTGATGACATTTGGGCTAAAGAATGCAGGTGCTACTTATCAAAGAGCTATGAATTTGATTTTCCATGATTTAATTGGGGTGATTATGGAGGTGTACATTGATGATATTGTGATCAAATCGGATGCCCATAAATCTCATTGGGCCGATTTGCGTCTTGCTTTTGAGAGGATGCGCCATTATGGATTGAAGATGAACCCACTCAAATGTGCTTTTGGGGTATCGGCTGGAAAGTTTTTAGGCTTCATAATTCATGATAAGGGCATAGAGGTTGATCCCAAGAGGATAGAGAAGATCAAGAAAGTTAAGGCACCTACGTGCAAGAAGGACTTGCAAAAATTTTTGGGAAAAGTGAACTACTTGAGAAGATTTATTGATAACTTGTCTGGGAAAATTATTCCTTTCACCCCTATATTGAAGCTGAAGGATGAATCTGAATTCACTTGGGGGGCAAAACAACAAGAGGCATTTGAAAAGATAAAGGAATATTTGTCAACACCACCGGTTCTTCGTGCACCTAGGAGAGGAGTTCCTTTCAAGTTATATATTGTTGCCGAAGAGAAGGTAATCGGGGCTGTTTTGACTCAAGAAGACGAAGGTAAAGAATATGTGATTGCTTATCTTGGTCGCCGTCTTTTTGATCCCGAGACAAGGTATGCCCATATAGAAAAATTATGCTTATCACTGTACTATGCTTGTGCTAAGATGAGACATTATCTTTTGTCTAGTACATGTGTTGTTGCTTGCCAGGCCGATGTGATAAAGCACATGTTATATCGGCCAATTCTTCATGGAAGGATAGGCACATGGGCATACGCACTAATAGAATATGACTTGACTTTTGAACCATTGAAAACATTAAGAGGTCAAGTTCTTGCTGATTTTATTGTTGAGCATGGTATTGATTTAGATGATGAAGTCAATTACCTTACTTTTACTCCATGGAAATTATACTTTGATGGATCGGTTGGTAAAGATGGCCAATGTGTTGGTATTATTCTTATTTCCCCTAATGGTGCTGAAATTGGAATGTCAAGCCGATTAGATTTCTCTTGTACCAACAATCAAACCGAATATGAAGCTCTATTATTTTGGTTGATCATGTTGCGGTCTATGGAAGTAAAACATGTTGAAGCTTATGGTGATTCTTTGCTGGTAGTACAGCAAGTTGCTGGTGAATTTCAATGTTTAGAAGGATCACTAAGCGCTTGTCTTGATGCTTGCCTTGATGTTATTGATTATTTTGCCGAATTTCAAATTCAGCATATTCCGAGGCATGAAAATCAAAAGGCCAACATGTTAGCTCAGCAAACATCTGGCTATGATGTCAATGGACATAATTTCCATATTCAAGAACAACCGATGCATGAAGATTTCAATTTTTCTTGTGTAGGTACAGACCAGTCGGCTCAGCCAACTGACCAAGTTGGCTCAGTCGACTACTCTTCTGCTGTGGCCAAGTCGGCTAAGCCGACTGCTCTAGTTGGCCAAGCCGACACCTCTAAATCGGTTAAGCCTACCAGCCCAATTGGTTCAGCCGACTCCCCTGTGACCAACCCGGTCAATTCGCTTGAGAAGCTATCAAATCGGCCTGATATAACTTCCAGTGATGTTGGGGCTGATTTAGAAGATTGGAGGACTCCCTTGTTGAGATATCTACGTGATCCAAGTGCCAAAATTGATAAAAGTATTCGGTGGAGTGCTTTCAAATATGTATTGCATAATGATGAGCTTTATCGAAGAACCGCCAAAGATTTGCTGCTTAAGTGCTTGGGATCAGATCAGGCAAGAGTGGCTATGGGAGAAGTCCATGAAGGCATCTATGGTACGCATCAATCGGCCCCGAAGATGAAGTGGTTATTGCGTAGAGCCGGTTTCTATTGGCCTACTATGATGGCCGATTGTTTTTGCTACTATAAAGGTTGTGAAGAGTGCCAGAAGTTTGGAAATATTCAGCTTGTGCCTGCTGCTGTGCTTCATCCTATCATCAAACCATGGCCTTTTCGTGGTTAGGGGTTAGACTTCATTGGCCAAATATATCCCTCATCTTCGAAGGGACACCGATTTGTGTTAGTTGCTATAGATTACTTTACTAAGTGGACCGAGGGAGTTCCTTTGAAGAATATGACACACAAGGAAGTAATTAAGTTCATTACTGAGCATATTATTCATAGATTCAGCATCCCTCAAACATTAACTACAGATCAAGGGACATCGTTTGTGTCTAAAGAGGTGAGGGAATTTGCCGAATTATATAAGATCAAGTTACTCAATTCATCTCGGTACTATGCTCAAGCCAATGGCCAAGCTGAGTCTAGTAATAAGACTTTGATCAAGCTCATCAAAAAGAAAATCGAGGAGAATCCAAGGAGATGGCATGAAGTTTTGTCTGAGGCTCTATGGGCACATCGCATTTCAAGGCATGGTGCTACGAAGGTTACTCCTTTTGAGTTAGTATATGGCAAAGAGGCCGTGTTGCCTGTCGAAGTGAATTTGGATGCATACAGGCTTGCTAAACAAAATGATTTATGAGTTGTTGTGTATCATGATTTGATGATGGATAATATCGATGAGGTGACTGATGTGAGATTAAAAGCTCTCAAGGAAATAGAGAAAGATAAAGCTCGAGTTGCCAAAGCGTACAACAAGAAAGTCAAGAGCAAATCCTTCCAAGCGGGAGAATTGGTGTGGAAAACCATACTACTAATTGGATCGAAGAGCAATCAGTTTGGCAAGTGGTCACTAAATTGGGAAGGTCCTTACAAAGTGGTCAAAGTTATATTCGGAAATTCATATGTGCTAGAGACATTGCAAGGTGAACGTGTCTCGAGAGCAATCAACGGGAGGTACTTGAAAAGATACTTTCCAAGTGTTTGGCAAGAAGCCTAAGTGCTCACCAAACAATGGCCGATACATGTATCGCCCTTAGAAAAAATGGCCGATGTATACACTGCCCTTAGCCACTGAGCAGCCGATGAGATGGGAATCATCGCTGTTTGGTTTTAATTTATTTGATTAAGTGTTTTCAGGTTTATGCATCATTCACCTGAAAACAGGGGGGCATATGTTGACAACCAAAAATGTTCATTTTGTGAAGTTGTCAAAATGAGAAACAGACTTCACCATTGTGTTTCTCTCATCGAGACGGTCAAGAAACATATATGGAATGCCTAATTCGGAGTCTGGATGAAGAAGTTATGCCCTCGGAAAGAT